GGATCCCAAGGCGTGCCCCCTCCCCAGGCGGGGACCCCCCCCCCCCCCCGCTCGCCTGCCGTGTCGGCAGGGCAAGAGGCAGCACCTCGACTACTTGCTCCTTTATTTTCCTGGCCGAAGTTCAACCACCTACTGGTGGGGGGAAGAAACGGCAAACCAGGCAGCGTTCGTGAGGTCTCTTCACACCTGAGAGAGGTCACCGACCCACGCACGTCCCGCCGCAGAGATCAGAGGGCAGCTCCGGGGGCCGCATCCTGTCCTGCAGAAGTGGAGGGCTCCCAGTTCCTTCCCGCTGCCTGGGCCAGACTCTCCTGTCAGACCCCGGCTGCCAGCACTGCCATCTCTGCACTGAATTACTGCCCCAAAACACAGCAGAACAGCGTGAAGGAAACATGATACGGACTTCATTCAGCCTTATGGTGTTCAGGAGTGAAAAATGCTGCAAACAAATGAATATTGACAAGAAAACTAGAACAATTTCAGCAATTTTTAATGGTGACTGCTGTCAGTGTTTGTAAGTGTCACACACCTTGTATTGTATTTGTTTGTAAAAGTTTGTTTTTAAAAAAACCCAAAACACTCAGTTTTATCCATGGACTAACTCTTGTGCTTTTTTTTTTTTTACTATAGGATCAGAGGTAATTAAATACATTTATTTGCTTTAAGCATCTTTCCAGCTAGAACCACTTTAGGACAAAATGTTTGGAGATATGCAAAGTTTGACTCTTGCTTTAGCTCTTTCTTGGGCTTGGGCCAGGCTCCATTGAGGTCTCCATCTTTCATGGGCTGGACTGAGACTTTTTGGGACAGTGTGGTGGTAAGTAACGTAACACAGCCTAGCCCAATATAGCCCACAAATAATCCAGTGTGTGTATTTTCTCTTCTACTTCATGTATATCCACCCCCTTATTGGCAATATTTTAATGGTACAGTAAATCCAACATTAGAATTTGTACATTTGGATGAAAAAGACATCAGCCATGTGAGAGTGCTGCTCCAGGATAAATTTATTTGGCCAATTCAAATTTCACCATGAAATTTTGACACGCAAGCTTGAAGCTACAACAAATATTATCTGTTGTCTCACATCTGGCATAACCTTTCTGTGTTGTGATCTGGCTAATCTGACAGAAAGGCAATCACGTGCACACACTTCATCTAGGTCCGCTTTGTACGTGGGGCAATCTACCTCTGTGATCATGGAGCCACAGCATATGGAAAAACAGGGTATATGAAAAACAAGCCAATACAGTAATTAAAAATATTTATTTCTGAAGATATTTACCTTGATAGGCATAAAGCATTTCCCAATTTCATACAGAAATACATAAAACATGCATAGACCAATATGGCCTACTTCAATGTATATTCAACATGGTAAATATAATGAAGAACTTGTGTGAATATAAATACAAAACACAAAAAATAAGCACATAAGATTCAACCTGTCAGCAAATTCAACAATGTGAAGAAATTCACTGCTATAAACATTCACCCAATATTAGCCTTTTGACATAATTCAAAACAACCCTTTGTCTCGACAAATTTACACCAAACAAGGCACTGAATAAACCTCACAACGGCCTCCGGTACATCCCCACTTCAGTGCATTTGTGGTGGTATGTAAGACACAACAACCTCTATTATTAGAACTTCAGTTAGCCATATACCCTTGTTATGGGAAACGTAGTAGTGTCCTCTAACTTTTATTTTATGTTGAAGAGTCCTTCAGTATCCAAAACCAAAGGACTTTGACTATGCAAACAACCACAGTGTCTAACCCACATTCAGATAACTCTGGTTGTACAAGTAAACTAGACTTCTGAAAAAAGGCAAAGGGTTGCAGCTGATTAGTAAAGGCAACAATAAGGTGTAAAAATACTCTAGCAGGAGTGCAACAAACAGTACGCGAGGTAGACATGTATATATGCAATAAGTCCTGATTAAAGTAGCACTGTGGCTTTCATTTCTGCATTTTAATCAAAAGGTAGAGTTTTTTTGCTTTGAAGTTTGTCCACTCAGATCTTGCTTTCTGTCCTTTCTAAGCACATCTGTGAGGTCTTCTTTGCAAGATGCTTTTGATGTAGACCCTGAAAGCTGCTCAATTGATGGGTAACATTCCAGACACAATATTCAAATGTTTCTTCAGAAAGATGGCTTTTCATGTATGTTACTGCGGATTCCCCTTCACCCCCTCTACCCATCCGTCTGAATTCCCAAACGATGAAATACTTTGCTCTTATACCTCCAAATACGGGACTTCCTTAGTGTTCTGCTCTGCTGCACAAACACTTGGACAGAGAGGCCCTTCGCCATCGTGGAATGTTAGAAGACAAGAGAGAGTTTTGGTGACGCTTTGTCAGCAAGCGTGATGGAGAAAGATTCAGGTGATCTTCCCACTAGGATGCTTTCAGGCTTTCCCAGATGCTTTGCCTTTTGTTCGCCCTGTTATGTTTCAGCTTCCACCCTTTCTGGAGCTCAGCCTTCAGCTTTGCAATGCTGAAGGAAGCTTTGATACTGTTACCGATGGCTTCCAGCCTGCAAAAATAAGAAATACACATTTATTGTTATAATAACGAAGATGCATCTCCAGTGCGTAGACATTCAGTTTTTGATTAAATAAGCCTCCGTCTAGATTTCTGCCACGGAATCTTCAGTAACTGCTGATTGCTATAGCCCTGTCAGAATTATGCTAAGTTAAGCCACTTGAAATATTGGATTCAGAATTTAAATGCAAATATTAAAACGAGTTAAAATATTCATTCAAATATAGATGCCCTAGACTTCCTTAAATAGCACATATCCAATCAAGAGGTCTGCAGTGTTATTCTTTTTGGCTGTTTGGTTTCTTTTAGGTAAGCCTGATCCTGAATGGGGTGCGTTTTTCACGTAAGTAAGTAAGCCAGCCCCATTTTGAAAAACGATTTAAGACTTCCAGGGCCTAAGTCTCACTCAAAATCATCAGGCTGCCTGCTCCCATAAATCGTGTTCTGCTTTTGAAAGCAGCATTAAAAAGTCTTCCTTTGTATGGGCAAACTTCTGTATGCCATACTTTCACACAGGCATATGGCCGAACACTGAACATCAGAGCTGATATAGCTGCACTAACACTCAGCTTCAAAGCTGATTTCACCTCTGTGGGCTTCGTAGCTGCACCAAGTCCAATGCATGAGTCTCTGAACTGCACTGCAGAGAGATATTGCTGCCTACTGCCACTCAACTTATTATGCACGGACCTCAAAGGGCAGTCCTGAAATTTACTGCTAATTTCAAATATTAAATTGGGCTCAAATATTAATTTAGTCTTCATTCTTCCTTTCCTCAACCTTTTTGCAGTCATGTCCATCACTAACATCCTGTACTCATTTTACACAGGTTTATCGGGCAATGTTAGAGATAAGGCAGGTAGAAATCCACCTCCTGCATTCTAAAAAGCCAGCCGCACCAGCCAGAAGAAACAATATATTCAAAATCTGGATAGATCAATAATCTTCATTTTTCCCCTCCAGTAAAGCGAAGTATCTAAGAAAAGGCATTCTGATTCAATTTCATATTAGAATAGTTGGGACATAACATTTTTAAGCAGTTAAGATAGTGCACGAACACACTAAAATGACAGGCTCTATTTATTTCTGTCACTATTTCATGATTTCATACTCTTCTGAAGTTTGGTGTATCTTTAGGCCTACAACTAAGCCTGCTTCCTCTAAGCAAACAGAAGATGCTAGGCAGAGCTCAGCACTCGCGTCTTCACAAGCTAAAAACCCACTGCATGAAGACAAGCCCTCAAGGTATCTCCACTGCTTCCTCCGTAACTCTCAAGCTGAAATCACCAGCTAAGCCCACGCTGACCCGAAGGCAGGTGAACTGTGCTCTCTATTGCTGCTCCGGGGAACTACAACAGGATGAGAAGAAACTCACCGCTTCATTTTCTTGCTGTCAACAAGCTGTCGGTCCATGCATTTGGGTCCAATGCAATTGCCAGCTTTGTTGTGGTGACGCAAGGTTTTCTCCACTGTGGACTGAGCCCTGTTAAAAGTGAAAAAGCGCTGCTGTTAAAAAAAAACAAGTCTGCAGTCCACAAGGTGAGGCATCTCATCAACCACTTCTCAAGGCACGTAATAAGCGATCTTGCTGGGCCAAACCATAGTATGTATCATAGCAGCGTGAGCACTCAGGTAGGAGGCAAGGCTTTGGGGAGATTATTTGCCCAGCAAGTGCCAAAACGAGTAAGTCTACCACAATCCATCCTTTTTACATGCACTGACTTTTAAAGAGTAGCAACAATAGACACACCAGAGATCTTTTCCTGTCTGGCAGAAGTTCAGGCATTTCTTATCCTTCTGGTTGGCACATCGGCATCTGCTGCTAGGTTCAGTGAGCATCTCTGGCACCATGTCCTTCAGTGATCTTCTGGATCGAGAAGGGCCTCCGAGACCATATGGAACAGTCTTCCTGTGATCAAAGAGACAACACGAAAGTCATTCAAACAATTCTGTGGCTTCAAAACAGCAGGGTATTTTGGGCAATCTTATCAATGGGATTGATTGCATGAGTAAAGGTTGTGGGATTGGGAATGCCTCGTTGGTCATAGTTTCCATGCAAATGCTTCTAATGATCCTGCAACATATTCATTAGCATGGCTACTGACAAGGCTAATGACCTTTTAATTGTGATTTCATACGGCTGCTGTGCCTCCCTGTGTGATAGAAAGCAATAAAACCTCATCTCTTTGAACTTTGGTAACTGCCAGCACCGAAAGAAGCAATAAAAGTGAGGAACAGATCCTCTTCGCTCTGAGGAAACCCAGCAGCAGAACAAATCACCAAAGTCAGTGGTTGCAGCATTAGGTGAGGCTCTGGCTCGCTACTTTTTGGTGAGGAGGGCGTAGAAATGGGCATAACCCTATTAACATGTGGGATGCATTAATTTGCAGGAGAGAGCAGCAAGAGGCAGTGAGGAGCCACCTCGTGTCAAAGTAAGCCTTCTAGCCTCCTAACTTGTTGGAAAGAAAAACGGTCAGGCAAATTCAGGCTGGCAAAATCATACTTTTGGCATTTTGTCCGCTTCTGATTCATAGTGAAAAGTATCCCGCAGCCTTTGCTGAGCGGCACCCAGAGGAAATACTCCTGCACAGATTTGAGGAAGGCAGGTGTGTTAGGGCAACGAGGAGCTATCTGCTCCATCTGGGTGGCCAAATCCTGCTTGCTTTCTCCCAGTGAACAGTCCCGCTGCTAAACTCGGCAGAAAAGCAGAACGCAGGAAAGCCATAGGAGAGACAGCACAAATAACTATTCCTTCCTCCCTTTCCCACTTCTGCAGGGGAGGGTTGCGGTTCTTAATTTTTCCCTCCGCCCCCCC